GGGGCGGGAGGGCCGCTCGGTGGGGGCGGGCCGTGCGTCTGGGCGGGCGGGCCGGCCGGTGGTGCGAGCGTCCGGGGCCGGCGCTCCGCCGCCGCCGGCCGGCCGGCCATGCTCATCACGCTGTGCTACCTGTACCTGTGGGCGCGCTGGGGGCGCGGGCCGGCCGCGCTCGTGCGCGCCACGGTGCAGCGGCTGCGCGCCTCGCGCTGCTCCTTCACCTTCTGCAGCGCGGCCGCGCCTCCCCGGGGCGCCCGCGTGTGTCTGAGCCGCGGCGGCCGGGTCTTCTGTGTCGGCGAGAGCCAGGTGGGCGGGCGCTGGGCGCTGGGGTGGGGGCCTGAGGGCAGGCCCGGTCGGGGGCGCGCGGCCGCGTCGCCGGCAGGGAGCCGGGAGCGCCCCCCAGCTCGGACCCCGCCATCGGCCCTGGTGCGTGCGGCCAGCGGGTTCCCTCCGCTTCGCCTGGAGGTTGCGAGAGGCCGTGGGGTCCCGGAAGGGCCAGCTGCGGGGCCTGCCCTACACGCGATGCCCTCGGGAGCCCGGAGTTTCGGGCCAGAGACCGATCGGATCACCTGTCCACGCGGTGCCCGCGCGAGGGTCCGGACGCCTGGGTCTTGGCGGTGCGGAAGCGGCGTGTACCCGTGTACCTGTGCAGAGTCGATTAGCCCCCGAGCAGCTCCCACCTCGAGTCCCTCCACTGTCTCGCCTAGCACTGGGCCGGAGGTGGGGTGAACCCGATTTCAGAGACGTACAGCAAAATCCTCAGCTTTCTGTCGCCTGTTGCCGTGGTGACAAAAAGTGCCCTACCCCCAGCTCCTGTCAGTTGCGTCATGTACCAATCGGGGCACCTACTCATTAATCTTTGCATCTTTTTGCTTTCGGTTTGCACGCAGTCCGGTCTCCTTGCCCGAATACCTAGCCTGATGGCCCCAAGTTCAGCCGGCCCTGTCACCCACAGGATGACCTGGGGCGGCCGTTCCTTTAATCTCTGCAGAACAATAGTTCTTTCCACTCAGCTATTGGAAGTGGGCTTGCGAGGGCAGTGCTGTGCAAATTGTGATGGACATCACCCACATTGCTGTCATTAACATTTAAAAGTGTTACGCTTTTAATGGTTTCTTGCTCTTTGCTCTTCCTTGTGAAAAGTTGGATCACTCTCGGCATTAAAATATGAGTTTTTCTTTGTGTGTGTAAAAGCGTGAGGAAATTAAACTCTTATCCCAGGTTTGAACATTTTGTTGGGGTTATGCTTAGGTATGCCGTTGTACTTTGCTGCTACAAATAAAAAATACCCATTCTTGTTAATATACTATATAACAGAATATGAGTGATTCTGATATCGCCTAGATGTTCATTCATTACATTCAGTAGATTCCTGAGGGAAGGAAGGCATAATTCTTTTAAGGAATCCTGATTGAGAAAGATGATAAAATGAAAAATCCAAGGGTGGATTTTTCTGTTTGTTGTTGTTAAGCTTCTAAGTCATGTCTGACTCTTTGCCACTGCTTGGACTGTAGCTGGCCAGGCTTCTCTGTCCATGGGATTTCCCAGGCAAGAATACTGGAGTGGGTTGCCATCTTCCTGACCCAGGTATCAAACCTGCGTCTCCTGCATTGCAGGCAGATACTTTACTGCTGAGCCAGCTGGGAAGCCCTTCTTTTATAGTAGTGGTTTCCAAACTGGATTCATTTACTTAAAAATTTAGAGTAGAAATTTTGAACATCCCAAAATAGTGAGAAATGGGAGACAGTTTTACTTTTGCACAACTCCGTGACTTTATTGGGCTTCTGTTAACTTTGATAACTGTTAACTAAGGCTTTTCAGCCCTTGCTTACTCCTCTAGCTGGGTTTAGGTGTACCTGGGTTAAACTGGTTTTGGGCTTTTGGGTTTTTGTAACTTGTTGTCCCTCTTAGAGCTTTGCCCAGAAATCACTATGTCACAGAGATGTCCCCTCGTCCACACTAGATGTGACCAGTTAGCTCTGTATCCTCTTAGACTTTAAGTTGCCTTTCAAATATGAAATTCAAATTCAAATATGAAATTCCAGTTTTTATCTTTTTTTTATTGTGATGTTTATTTTTTTCATTAAAAAATTATTTATTTTGGCTGTGCTGGGTCTTAGTTGCAGCGCATGGGATCTTTGATCTTCTTTATGGTATGTGGGATCCTTAGTTTCAGCATGTGGGATCTAGTTCCCATACCAGGGATGGAACCTGGGCCGCCTGCATTGGGAGTGTGGAGTCTTAGCCACTTGACTACAGGGGAAGTCCTCGTTTTTTTTTTTTTTTTTTCATTTTTTAAAATTGAAGTATAAGAAAAAAAATTGAAGTATAGGTGATATACAATGTTGTGTTAATTTCTGCTGTAAAGCAAAGTGATTCAGTTTTATATATATGATATATTTATATCATGAATATATATATATAAATATTCTTTTTAAAATTATTTTCCATTATGTCCAGTTTTTATCTTTTTTTCCCTAGAAATTGGGTCTGTTTAACTTAGCAGCTTGACCTGTAATAGTTATTCAGTGTTTCACTGAATGAAGTAGTGGTTGTTGGATTTAATTAAGCTGTTTTTGAAACCTGCAATTGGGAAGTTTGGCTATTTGTGGTTAGCTACTGTTATTTTAAGACTGAAAATACCGTGGGACTGATGATTTGGTTCAGTGGATACCTTATTGTCAGTCTCCCTGGGCCGAAATAACTTTACAGAACTGAATCTTATGCCTTTGCGGTCTCCATATTTTATATACTTAAAATCAGATGCATAAGTACCATATGTGTATGTTTATGTAATCAAAGGTCCCGCAAGAATTAAGTATCACCAAAGATGGTTTATACAAACTGGAACTTTGAAGCTTTTTGTTTAATGTACATATTTTCTCTGGGTAAAGTGGACAGTCTTTTAAATTATTTTGCTCTTTTTCAAAAGTATTGCTTATTTTTGGCTGCAGTGAGTCTTCATTGCTGTTCGGGCTTTCTACCGCTGCAGTGAGCGGGGGCTGCGCCTCAGATTCAGTGAGTGGGGGCCACTCTAGTTGCGGTGGCCTGTCTTGCTGCATAGCGCGGGTTCTAAGGTGTGTGGGCTTCAGTGGTTGTGGTGCACGGCTTGGTTGCCTCAAGGCATGTGGGATCTTCCCAGACCAGGGCTCAGACGCTTGTCCTCTGCATTGGCAGGTGGATTCCTAACCACTGGACCACCAGGCAAGTTCCTACAGCCTGGCTTTTGTTTTTAACTATCATCAAATAATTACATTTACCCACAGAAGGAGTTATTCTGTCTCATTTTCATTCACTGATTGGTTCAACACATATTTATTAAGCTTCTGCTTTGTGCCAGGTTACTAGGCCCTGTGAAAATAACTTTCTCATCTTCCCATCAAGGGCAGGTTTGAACTGACAAGCAAGCCTATGGATCTTGACCCAAATGCCCTTTTTGGGGGTGGGTGATGATGGACAGGGAGGCGTGGCGTGCTGTGATTCATGGGGTCGCAAAGAGTCGGACACGACTGAGCGACTGAACTGAACTGAACTGATGATGAGAAGGCTCCCGTCTTGCAGCTTTAGCTTTCAGCTTTTTTCTGCTCTGGATGTGTCTTGTTTTAAAGCCTTTAAAATTTGATGTACAGTCTTTCTAGAGAGATTTCAAGGGGCGAGCAGAAGTCAGTGATCACAGCCGACCTGCTAACTGATCTTGATGCTGTCATGGGTGGAGGAGATGGAAGAACAGCTCTTTGGGCATCTGTCAGTAACAAGCTTCTGCTGACAGGCATGTGCTTCTGAGCCACCTCACCTTCAAATGTACTTCCAAATAGTAATTTGGAAAACTGCATGTTCTCGGCAGTAAGAAATGGTGGGAATAAGCTTCAGAATTAATTGCTTGGATGAACCCTGGCCTCCTGCATTGCAGGCAGATTCTTTACCTACTGAGCCAACAGGAAAGCCCTAACAAGTAACAAAAGAAGTGAAAGCTGTCATGGGTCATTGGAGGATGTTGTTCATGTTGTTTAGTCGCTAAGTCGTGTCCAACTCTTTTGCGACCCCTTGGACTGTGGCCTGCCAGGCTCCTCTGTCCATAGGATTTTGCAGCTATTTATACAGTCACAGCTCAACAACTGGGCTTCTCTAATAGCTCAGTTGGTAAAGAATCCACCTGCAATGCAGGAGACCCTGGTTCGATTTCTGGGTCAGGAAGATCCCCTGGAGAAGGGATAGGCTACCCACTCCAGTATTCTTGGGTTTCCCTTGTGACTCAGCTGGTAAAAAATCCACCTGCAATGTGGGAGACCTGGGTTCTATCCCTGGGTTGGGGAGATCCCCTGGAGAAGAGAAAGGCTACCCACTCCTGTATTATGGCTTGGAGAATCCCATGGACTGTGTAGTCCATGGGGTCGCAAAGAGTTGGACATGACTGAGCAACTTTCAGTTTCAGCTCAACAAAAAAATGTGAGTTAATGCAGTGTATTGGAGAGCATCGGATGGCCTTATGTAGATGCCACCTGGAATTACAGAGGCGAGGATGTCCTAGATGTTAATATAAGGGACAGTTGTTTTTGAAGTCATGTTGAATCCTCTATTGAACCGTGTCTCTTTCCCTCCATCCAGTCCATTGATGACTTAAACAAATGGGCCCTGTTCCTGGTTTCTCCTTTTATACTTGAAGCAGAGCACATCGCATTTGTGACAGAGAGCATTTGGGTGCAAGGTGAGAATTTACAGAGACCGGCATCCTCTTCGGAAACTGTGAGTACCATGTTTGTCCTTTGTCGACCATTACCAAAACTAAATTTGTTATTTTACATGAGTGCTCTTTCTTGGCTTTCGTGATTTGCTTTCTTTTTAGATATTTTGGGTTGAAAGTGAAAGTGTTAGTCGCTTAGTTGTATCTGACTCTTTGTGACCTCATAGGCTGTAGCCTACCAGGCTCCTCTGTCCCTGGAATTCTCTAGGCAAGAATACTGGAATGGGTTGCCATTTCCTTCTCCAGGGGATCTTCCCAATCCAGGGGTCAAACCTGGGTCTCCTGCATTGCAGGCAGATTCTTTACCAACTGAGCTATCAGGGAAGCCCCATTTTCGGTTAGATAAAAATATATTAGTAGGGACCCTGCTGGTCCAGTGGTTTGGACCCAGTGCTTTTACTGCTGGGGCCCAGTTTGGATCCCTGGTTAGGGAACTAAGAATCTGTGCAGCCAAATACATGTATATCCAAATACATACATCTATCTATCTATCTATCTATCTGAGTTTTGGGACTTCCCAGGTGGTTCAGTGGTTAAGACCCCAAGCTTCTACTGTAGGGGGCACTGAGGTCCNGGTTGGATCCCTGGTTAGGGAACTAAGAATCTGTGCAGCCAAATACATATATATCCAAATACATCTATCTATCTATCTATCTATCTATCTATCTATCTATCTGAGTTTTGGGACTTCCCAGGTGGTTCAGTGGTTAAGACCCCAAGCTTCTACTGTAGGGGGCACTGAGGTCCCTAGTTGGGGAACTAAAATCGTACATGCTTCATGGTACAGCCAAAAAAAAAAAGTGCTACTTGTGTTTATGTTGTGTTCTGGTTTGTTGTATGTTACTGGGCAGCAATGCTGAGGTCTCTCCCTAGATCATCTAGTCCAGCCCCACAGCTTCTTGCTGCCGAAATCAGTTGATTTCTACCACTGTGTACTGGACATCTCACCCTCAGTATTCTGAAGGCACTTCAAACTCAGTAACGTGTCCCAAACTGGTGGTTTGTATTTCTCTCCTGGGAAAAAAAGAAAATCTCAGATGAACACCCCAGCCTGTGTGTCCTTTCCCCTCCTCCTGCCTCTTTCCTGCCATTCAGTGACCAGTTCTGCTAATTTCTTTCTTTCTTTCTTTTCTTTCGGCTAAATCCACTCCTCGCGTGTCCCAGCTTTTACTCCTTCCCTTCCATTCCTCCTCATTGCATTCTCCTCTCCATTATCTTTTTGTTGAATCTGAAAATGGCATCATCGTATCGCGGGTCTCCTTTGTGGGTTTTCCTCGGGATGGCCTGTCATCTTTCTGGACACACACCCAGTGGGGATGCCCTCTGGTGTACGCTCTCAATGAATGCCTTCTCCCGGGAGCTGTCACCTCTCAGGCTTGTAGATGCCTGCCCCTAACTCCTTAACCCCCCAGTCCCCACCCCCTTATAGGCTGCTTCTCCTGGTGTCTGGGGTGAATCCTTTCTGCTCTCACTCACCCATCGTATGCTTCTTGCCTGTGGCATGAATGATCCAGGAGGCATTTTGCTGAAGACAGCCATGGCCACTGGACCTCCATCTTACACCACTGTCTTGAAGACATTGTGTTGGGATGAATGAAAAGGAAGAAATAAGACTGGAAATAGACTAGACTTGACTAGAACTCAAGGTGGATGGAAGTAAGAGTTAGGAGATAGGTAAAAGTAAAGGAAAGCAGGAATCTCTCTTCTATTTGGGGCTCAGGAGGGATTTAGAGTTTTGCAGGTGGTCTGACAGTAACCTAGTGTGCTAGGACATGACATTTTTCTCCTGCCAGTTCCTGCTGCTGCTGCTAAGTCACTTCAATCGTGTCCGACTCTGTGCGACCCCATAGACGGCAGTCCAACAGGCTCCCCTGTCCCTGGGATTCTCTAGGCAAGAATACTGGAGTGGGCTGCCATTTCCTTCTGCCAGTTCCTACTGTTTATTAAACTCTATATATACTTACAATAATAATCATACCATTTATTGAGCCCCTGCTCGGTGTTTTATATATATTACTTCTAGTACTTACAATTTTATAAGATATTATGATCATTTTTAAAGAGAAGAAAATTGAAGTTATATGATTAAAGGTTAAAGTTTTGTTTTTTGACGTGAACCATTTTTAGAGTCTTTATTGAATGTGTTGTAATATTGCTTCTGTTTCATGTTTTGATCTCTTGGCCCCAAGGGATATGGGATCTTAGTCCCCGTCCAGGGATAGAACCTGCCCTCCTGCATTGAAAGGCGAAGTCTTAACTACTGGACCACCAGGGAAGTCCCTGAAGTTTTCTTATGTATTCTAATGTTGTATATATCTAGTAAGATTTCAACTTAAAATCTGTGCCAAAATTTCTAAAATATTGCAACTATGAAAAATATCAAATATGCACAGATTCCTTTTCTAACATAAAATTGTGACTGCTCTGCTCTCATTTTCCTGAATCATTGTTGCCTAATGTGTATCTCTATCCACGTAGCAGCTTAAGGAATGTGGTTACTGTATTACATAAGGTGTGAAAGTCACAAAGGTTGTTGTGCAAGTCGCTCAGTCGTGTCCGACTCTTTGCCACCCCAGGGACTGTAGCCCACCAGGCTCCTCTGTCCATGGGATTCTCCAGGCAAGAACACTGGAGTGGGTTGCCATGCCCTCCTCCAGGGGATCTTCCCGACCCAGGGGTTGAGCCTAGGTCTCCCACATCGCAGGCAGAGTCTTTACAGTCTGAGCCGCCAGGGTAGCCCAAGGTCCAAGCTACGCTGTGGTAACAAGTGATGCGCAGCCTGCATCTGAGGGAGAAGGTCCTGCTCTGGAAGGCCACCCGGGACCCAGCCCTTTTCTGCCCTCTTGCTAGGCTGCCTCCCCTCTGCCATCCTCCTACCCCACCCCACCCCCTCACCTGATCCACATTCCAGCCCTCAGAATAGGGAGACAGGGAAGGTGGGGACCAGCGTGCTTCCTCTTTGAGGCTGTGATCCAGGAGCTTCCCATCACGCGTTGCTTCTCTCAGCTGCAGGGAGGTGGAGAATTGCAGTCCGTAGCTGGGCAGCCGTGGCTTCCGTGAAGACCTGGAGTTCTGTTACTCCAGGGAGAAAGAAAGACTAGATGTTGGGAGATGATGAACGTTTCTGCCGCAGCGCTCCCGTTTAGGTTACCTTCTAAGGGCGATTTAAGATCTCTCCTCGGGGCTGTTACTTAATGCTTTTTCTTTTTTTAAATCACCTGTGCTGTGTTTAGTCACTCGGTCGTGATCGACTCTTCATGACCCCATGGACTGTAGCCCGCCAGGCTCCTCTGTCCATGGGATTCTCCAGGCAAGAACACTGGAGTGGGTTGCCATGCCCTCCTCCAGGGGATCTTCCCGACCCAGGGGTTGAGCCTAGGTCTCCCACATCGCAGGCAGAGTCTTTACAGTCTGAGCCGCCAGGGTAGCCCAAGGTCCAAGCTACGCTGTGGTAACAAGTGATGCCCAGCCTGCATCTGAGGGAGAAGGTCCTGCTCTGGAAGGCCACCCGGGACCCAGCCCTTTTCTGCCCTCTTGCTAGGCTGCCTCCCCTCTGCCATCCTCCTACCCCACCCCACCCCCTCACCTGATCCACATTCCAGCCCTCAGAATAGGGAAAGACAGGGAAAGGTGGGGACCAGCGTGCTTCCTCTTTGAGGCTGTGATCCAGGAGCTTCCCATCACGTGTCGCTTCTCTCAGCTGCAGGGAGGTGGAGAATTGCAGTCCGTAGCTGGGCAGCCGTGGCTTCCGTGAAGACCTGGAGTTCTGTTACTCCAGGGAGAAAGAAAGACTAGATGTTGGGAGATGATGAACGTTTCTGCCGCAGCGCTCCCGTTTAGGTTACCTTCTAAGGGCGATTTAAGATCTCTCCTCGGGGCTGTTACTTAATGCTTTTTCTTTTTTTAAATCACCTGTGCTGTGTTTAGTCACTCGTCGTGATCGACTCTTCATGACCCCATGGACTGTGGCCTGCCAGGCTCCTCAGTCCGTGGGGATTCTCCAGGCAAGAATACTCGAGTGGGTTGTCACGCGCTTCTCCTCAAATCACCTACAGAGCTTGTACAATTTTTAAATAAATTATATACTTTTGGCTGTGTTTGAGCTTTCCTCTAGTTGTGGCGAGTGGCGGCTATTTTCTAGCCGCGGTGGGGGGGTGGCCGGGGGCGAGGGCTCCTCACTGAGGTGGCTTCTCTTGTTATGGACCGTGGGTTCCAGGGTGCTTGGGCTCAGTAGTTGTGGGGTGCACGGGCTTAGTTGCCCTGCAGCATGTGGGGTTTTAGTTCCCAGACCAAGAATCGAGCTTGTGCCTTCTGCATTGGCAGGTGGATTCTCAACTACTGGACCACCAACACTAGAATGTCCCGGTGGTTACTTAATTCTGGGGGTGAAAGGATGCCTGTCCACCAGAGGTACTCTCCGGTTAAGTCATCTTATTTGTGATCAGAGAGTTTAGTGGATTTTGCAACCAGGAGCTAGAGCTGTCTGGAGCCATATTTTGGAGCACCATGGCTATTTGTTACACAGATGACCCAAGAGTCGACAACCCAAAGAACTTACACAGCTCTGTTTTGTAAACTGGGCTTCAGATCTTAAAAAGGAGTTGATTTCAAAGGTCTCTGTCTTCTAAGTCTGCTGTTCCCATTCAGGTGTATTGCTCAATGGGATTTTACAGCTTGGGGGTGTTCATTAGTCTATGTATTTCACCTAAGTCTCAAGTCATTTGAATTTGATAGGATCCTAAGATATTTAATAGCAAATATGTTATTGAGGAAAGACTGTTGAACTTGATAAAATCCTTTCCTATTTTTAGGACAGTACCACTCCTTCAGCTATTGAAAATGCCATCTTTTCGGATTTTGAATATCTCCTTTGTGGTCATTCTGCAGACCCCCTCCCCCCACCCCCCGACAACAAATAAATGAATTTCAGGAATTCAGTTTAAAAACTGTAGCATTCACACATTCATATTTTCACTTAGTCATTCTTTCACTAAGATATTTA